TGGAGTGGAGACCCAATGCCCATCTGTAGACAATTGGACATCCCCTCACAGAGGAATCACAGGGAAGAAATGAGCCAGTCAGGGTGCAGTATAGCACCAATGAAACACACAACTTTCCTCTAGTTCTTTGATGCTTCCTTCGCCCCACTATCATGACCTCAATTCTACTTTACAAATCAGATTAGACCAGAACATGCACACTGCTACAGTTAAGAGCCCGTAACACAGGGAATCCAGGATAGATAAACCGTTCAGGGCCAACAAGGAGAGTAGAGATACCAGGAGGATTAGTGGAGGGTGGGAGGAAAAAGGGGGAATCGATCACAAAGGTCAACTCGGAACTCCCTCCCAGGGGGACAAATAATGGAAAAGTGGGTGAGGGACGACGGAGGATGATGTAAGATATGGAAAAAATACTCTATGACCTATCAAGGGTTCGTGAGGGAGGGAGGGGGAAGAAATGGGGGGCTGATATGAGGGGCTCAAGTGGGAAGAGAATGCTTTGAGAATGATGATGGTGGCATATGTGTAAATGTGTTTGACACATTGGAAGAATGCATGGATTGTGATAAGAGATGTAAGATCCCCCAATAAAAGTTTTTTTTTTTTAAATAGTCCTAGGCTTTGTGAGGGGACTTCAAAAAAAATTGAGGGGACTTCATTAAAAATTTTAATTCCATTTCCCACAAACCATTTGCAGCTTCCTTGTATTTCCCCCCATGCCATCGATACTGAGACCCAGTGAGGTTAAATCAGATGCCAAGCTTAAAGTCCTTCCATTGCATGTAGTAGGCTTGTCAAAGGTGCTCTAGTGGCAGATGGGGGATATGTTGGGCTGCTAACTGCAGGGTTAGCATTTCTAACCTACCAGCTGCTCCATGGGGGAAAGATGAGTCTTTTCTGCTTCTCTAAAGATCTGAAGTCTTGGAAACTCAAAGGGGCAGTTCTACTCTGACCTACAACGGAGTCAGCTATGAGTTAGAGTCAGTCAGATGACAGGGAGTGATGATGTCAAAGGTACCTTTACAATTTCCCATCCGAAGAAGTCACCTGTTTTTTTTTAAGCTTAGCTCTTTTTTTAAAAAAGAAATTTAAACTCCACTGAGCCCAAACAAGAACACCAGCTCATAGAACTGGTTGGATGTTGGATATTAATGCTGTTGCATCCAACCGTTGGATGTGTTCGATGATAACAGTGCCTGGGACTGGTTAAAGGAAAAGTGATGGATTGTAGTCCTACCCCATGGTAGAAGGAATCAAAGACAAAAAGAGAGGGGCTGAGGCTGAGCTGATGAAGCCTTGTAGCGAACAGGAGTATACCGCTGCCTGAGATGAAATAGACGATGGTGTTTTTTTATGTATATGTCAGTATTCTAAGTCATAGATCACTGCCTTTCAAATTTATGAAGTTGTTTACTTCATCACTCCAAACAGAAACACACACACACACACACACACACAGATACAAACGTGACAAAGAAGTGTCCTGTCTTCTCTTTGCCAGTCACAGCCAGAATTTATTGGACTTATTGCTGAGTGGCTACACGTGAAACTAAGATGGCCAAAGTCAGGTCGAACTGGAGAGTCGTTAACTTGATAGAAGCCCAGTTTCTAGCTCGTGTGTGGAACACTCGGTCTGGGAGAGACTCGCTGGCAGAATAGTAAATTGGAGAACCTTGCTGACTGTCTCCCCGCCCTGTGTGAGGGCTCATGGTGCAGACTGGCATTTTGGAGGCTCTGAAAAAGTTTGGGAATATGGATACCTCAAAACTATGGAATCCCACCAGTCCTACCCACCCACACACAGACACACGGACACAGACTTCCTCAGGCTCCACTTCTGAACAAACACTTCGGAATATGCTTTCCTGAAAGTTAACAAAAACGTGTTTGTCATGTGCAATGAAATGAATGAGTCCAGGAACCCTCAAAGCGCCATCTTTCCAAGACACCAACCACCAGAGAGTATATGAAGCAGGTGATTTTGTACATACATACTTGAAGTCATTGTGGTAAAATATATACTCCATACCAAATTTTCCGTATTGACCAGGGTGCGTGTCAGCACAATGCTGTGCCACCATCAGCAGTGTCTATTCCCAGACTTTCATCCTCTCAAACAGAAATTAAGTATCATTTGGACAATAGCTCCTTGACAAGAACATTTCTAAGGAAATGCCCTGACCTTTCCCCAGCTCCTTCAAGGTCCTCAGCTCAGATTCCGGGGATTGTGTGGTAATCTGGGAGACTTGACTATATACTTTTCCACTCAGATACAAGTGTGTTTTCATGTGGGTCAGGCCACCCGCCTCCCACATCCAGGATGGAAAATAACCTTTCCATGAGGAAATGGTGACGAAGGTGAAGTGAAGGTAGCCAAGAATCAGAGGGCAGATGAAAGTTCCAGATGCCCCTGTTGAATCAGTCCCCATTTTGGCCTCACTTCCTTAGGGAAGTGTGAGTCCGCCCGGGCTAAACGTGACAGGATGAGATAAAGCATTGTTTTATAATTGTTCCTAGTTGCAGGCTAGAATAAAATCCCCAAAATACCATGTCATTCTAACAGAAATGCTCAGTAGCCTACTTTATTTGCCATGTGGTCAGTTCTGACCTACTTTTGAGAAGTAGGAAGAAATACCAAGGTAAACGTGTGGCTGGAATGCCTCCTTTCCCCCCCCAAGATTTCCGCCCCTGCACAGGTGCAGATGGGAGAATTGTTGGGAGGAAGTGGCCATCAGCAAAGCTCTCAATCACACATGATATTAGATGAAAATTCTTAGAACTGAAAAAGAAAGAAAGCTCTTTTTTTCTGGATTGCTAATTCCAATCGACAGTCATGCATTTCAAGATCATTTATTGAGAATGTTCTCTTCATTTTAAAAGACGTCCTGGTTGTCTAGTGGCTCCTCGTTGGGCTGATCTCATGGTCAGCAGGGCACCTGTGCCCCCAGCAGCTCCTCAGCAGAAAGATGGGACTTTCTGCTCCCGCAAATAGTCACAGCCTCAGAAACCCACAGGGTCCCTATGAGTCAGCACCCACTCAATGGCAGTGAAGGACTGACTTGGTCTAAAAGCAGCTCTGACGGCACAGTAGGTTGAACATTGGACTGCCAGCTAAAAAGGTCAGTGGTTCGAACCCCCTCACTGCGCTGTCTGAGAGATGAGCAATCTCTTCTCTTAAAAGATTTTTTTCAGCGTTGGAAGCCCTGTGGAGAATCTACTCTACCCTCCAGGGTCACTGTGATTTGGAATCTATTCAACAACAGTAGGTTGGTTCAGTTGGTTATTCAGTTGAAGCTTTTTTTTTTTTTTTTTTTCTATGCTTTGGGTTGCTAATTGCGGTGTCAGCAGTCCTGACTGACTGGCTGTTATGGGGGTAAAAGAGGAGGAAGTTTTCTGCTCCTGTAAAAATTTACAGCCTAGGAAGTCCGGAGGAGCAGTTTTATTCTGTCCTGCAGGCTGACTATGAGTCAACATCTACTCAATGGCAGTGAGTTTGATTATAAACAGTCACCATGTGCCTGGGAGCATTCAAAGAACTCATCAATTTAGCAACATATTCTGAGCACCTACCATGTGCCAAGAAAGGGTCGTGCGGTCCTAGGACTACAGAGGTGACAACGATTCATCAATTGATTGATTGATTTTGAACTTTGTTTCCCTTTCAGTGAAAGCTTACAGATCACATTAGTTTTCCATTGAACGATTCATGCGTGTTTTCTTTCATGACATCGGTTGCAGTCCCTCCAGTGTGTCAACCCCTTTCTACTTCTTCCAGGCTTCCATTTCCAACCAGCCTTCTCTGCCCCTGTGGCGTTCTGAGCTTTGCTGTCATTGTTGGGCTGCCGGTGCCCTTTCTGTCTCCTGCTGTTGAATGAGCAGAGGAGTGCATTGCTCTCTGGTGTTCTTGTTTGTTTTATAGGCCTGGCTATTGGAAGATGAGATTTTCTGCTCCCATAAAGATGTACAGTCTAAGGTCCACAGGGCCGTTCTACTCTGTTCCGTATCCTCTCAGATCGCTGTGTCAGAATCCACTTGATGGCAGTGAGCTTGATTTGGAGTGTTGTTTGACTGAAAGCTGATCCCGGGGGTGGGTTCAACTCTAGGCTCAAGGGGTGTCGATTCACCTGTTTAAGCGTAACTTTAAACGTATATATAACATAGTTGTATAGAAGGTAGCCTATATCTTTAAGGATTGTACAGCCTTTACTCACAGATAGTAAGGTACACAGACTTTAAAAAACAAAACTCAGTGCTCTTGAGTCCATTTCGACTCTTAGCAACCCCATCGGACAGCGTAAGCTTGCTCCTGTAGGTCACTGATGCTGTAAACCTTTATGACAGTAGAAAGTCTTATCTTTCTCCTGTGATTTAATACTGCTGACCTAGTAGTTAGCTGCCCAAAGTATCACTCACGACACCACCAGGGCTCCTTTACGGACTTTACCACACTTGAAATGTAGTGGAAGCCGACTTATTCCATTCTTTATTCATTGACAGAATGTTTATCACTTCCCAAGAGCACTCACTGGTGGCATGCTGGGCTATGCACTGGGCTGCTACCCACAAAGTTAGCAGTTTGAAACCACCAGCTGCCCCGTGGGAGATGGATTAGGCTGTCTGCTCGTGCAGAAATGTACAGTCTCAAAACAACAGTGGTAATTCTCCTCTAAGGTCGTCTGCATGAGAATGGACTCAGTGGCAGGGAGTTGAGTTGAGTGCAGCCCACATAGACATAGGAGGCTACTTTGGTTCTGAAGACTGGTTCCCTCAGCCTGGAAGACTCCAGCTTGTCTAATGAAATAACGGGGTTGCATGAGCCTTTGGGTATAAATTTGCTTTTTTGGGTCTGTTGAATTTCAAGTTTGTTTGTTGGTTCCTCGAATTTCAGGATGAGTATGTCCAAAGAGTATCTTCACAAAGACAGACTTTCTGGATGCCAGTCTGTGACCTCTGTGTGTGCTGGCAGCCAGTGAAAACTGCATGGATGTATCTTGGAATACAATTTGGGATTTTAGTAACTGGCGGTGGCCTTTGTCAGTTCCATGGCTTTTGAGTTTGAGAAAGAAATAGAACTCAACTCTGCCACCAGTGGAGACTAGGTTAGCATGTATATTTAAACAAACTTGCTTTCTCCTCAATGTTTATAGGTGGTATGTTGCCAGCAGGAGTGAATGTAGCGCCCAGTGCGGCTTGGGTTACCGCACACTGGACATCAGCTGTGCCAAATACAGCCGGCTGGATGGGAAGACTGAGAAGGTTGATGCCAGCTTCTGCAGCAGCTACTCCAAGCCAAGCACCCAAGAGAAGTGCTCCGGAGAATGTAACATGGGTGGCTGGCGGTACTCTGCGTGGACCGAAGTAAGTCCGGATCTCAGTCAAAAAGAAACTCTCTCTTGGATTCCAGGTCCACTAAGCTGAGGAGATCACCTTACAGAGAGAGCTATGTGAAAGTGTCCTGTTTCATCAGTATGGAACAGAGCCATAATTAATTTATAAAGTCTGACCCCATTCAGACTCTTATATAGGTTGCTATGATTTGTAATGTCTGACACGGGCATGGCATGTGGAAAACTTGAGAGTAGTGCCACAATTTGGAACCAATCAATTTTTTCTAACCCCCACAGGCCATTTCCAGCTGTATTTTCCAATGCCATTTAACTAATGTTGACTTAATGTGAACCTGATAAATTGATAGCATGAACCATTGGTTGCCATGGAGTTGATGCTGATGCACAGTAACCCCATTTTTATTAGAGGAGAATCGTGCTGGGTTTTCATAAGTAGATCTCTCCAGCCCTTTCTTCCAATGTGCTCCAGTCTGCAGCCTCTTGGTTAGCTATAAGCACATTAAATATTTGTCCACCCAAGGACTCCAGTAGCCTGAACAAAGACACCCAAAATAGCTAGAATTGACCAAGGTTGTTGACTTATGAGGGCCCAACCTCCCAAAAATGGAAAAAAGCTCCACTGGGCGAGCTTTCATAGTATAATTTTTCCCCACTAGGTGAGCATCTAGCAACTTGTTCTGACGCACCCAGTGGCATTACCTGGGAAGGTTCTCTGTGGTCAGAGTGAAATTTTTCGTAAATGCAGTTTCATTTGAACCTCATTTTTTTGTGATGGCCGATTTAAAAGAACAGCACGCAGCTGTGAGATTTCCTGCTTGGGAAAAATGCAGCAGAAACTGTTGTGATGTTGAACACAGCATACAAGGACAGCACTATGGGGAAAACTCAAGTGTATAACTGTTTTTCTCCTTTCAAAAAAAGATGAAATGTCAATTGATAACAAACATCATTCTGGATGTTCATCCACTTCCCAAACGGATGAAAATGTCCACTTGTAGTGCATCTGGAGTTTGTTCCACCAGGTCAGACTGTTAATCAAGCTTTTTATTTAGAGGTTCTGAAAAGATTGCATAATGGTGTGTGGCAAAAAAGGCATGATTTATGGCAGATGGGGGACTGGTTTTGCTGCCATGACAGTGCACCTGCTCACACAGCCATCTCAATGTTCCAGTTGTTGGCAAAAACTAGCATGCCTCTCTTTCCCCACACACCCTACTCACCTGACTTTGCTCTGTGCAACTTTTTGTTTCTGCAAATGAAGAGGGATATATGAAAGGACAGTGATTTGACGATGTAGAAGAGGTGAGGAAAAAATTAGGGAGGTGCTGTCAGCCATCCAAACAGATGAGTTTGAAAAATATTTCCAAGAATGGAATAACAGATTTGACACGTGTATTCAGTGTAATAGAGAGTACTTTGAAGGTGATAAGTTTGTTTTGTTAAAAATAATTAATACACAACTTTGGGGAAAATTCCATTTATTTTTGGGTACCCCCTCGTGTTTGTCTCATAAGGGCTGGAAGAGACAAGGCAACACTGCCAGGGCCCTGAGCAGGTTTCATAGGAAACCCAGTAGCCATACTTGTATCCTTGTCCTTGCAGTGCTCAAAAAGCTGTGATGGTGGGACCCAAAGGAGAAGGGCTATTTGTGTCAACAGCCGAAATGACGTCCTGGATGACAGCAGGTGCACTCAGGAGAAAGTCACCATTCAGAGATGCAGCGAGTTCCCCTGTCCTCAGTGGAAGTTGGGAGAGTGGTCAGAGGTGAGCAGGGAGGACCAGAGGGTGGTTGTGTCCCTGGGCCATTTCTGATGCTTTAATTCGGGGCCTCTCCTGGCTTGTTCAAGGCTAACCCTGCTGTATCTCTCTCCTGCTGTTCTTGGAGGACACAGCATCTCCACTCCTTCACGTGCGCATGGCTGTGGCCCAGGCTGAGACTCAGAGGCTGGGCTGGATCACCCATGACGGTGGCTTCTGTTGGCAACTGTGGAACTCCAGTCCTTTACCTTGCCTCCCCTTGCTCATTAGCCACACACTAAAAGGAAACCATGATGTTGTTCATTGTAAAGCTGCACTGGTTTAGAAGCAAAGTCAAAATGAGGATTCCGACTTCCGTTGTTTTATTTAATGGAAGAATGAGAGAGATCCTAGGATTTCTTTCTTTTTTTTTTTTTTTTGATCGTAGGATTTCTGATGGCAAAGTAGGTTACATGTTGGGCTGCTGACTGCAATGTCAGCAGTTCAAACCAGCTAGCCATCCTCAGGAGAAAGACGAGGCTTTCTGCTCTCATAAAGATTTACAGCCTCAGAAACCCAAAGGGGCATTTCTGCTCTGTCCTACAGAATGTCTATGAATTGAAAATCACTCTAGCAGTGGGTTTAGTCTCTTGGTATTAGCACAGCCCTGTGCGTTGCTGCCCAAGCAGGTGACTCTCTCCACTGTCTTAAAGGAGAGCACGCAGAAGGGCAGAAAAGTCCAGTTGCCATCAAGCTGATTGTTGCATAGGATGGCCTCGTGTGTGTCAGAATAGAATTCTACTCGGAAGGACTTTCTGAGGCTGATGGCTGGGAAGTAGATTACCAGACCTTTCTTCCTAGACACATCTGGGTACTGCAACTTGCCAACCTATGCAATTAGCAGCCACCCATGTTAACTGTGCTCCGCCTAAGGCCTTCAGGGAACAGAACTTCCTGTACCTATGGGCCAAGTCAGACCTGGGGGAAAGAAAGTATGCTGGCCTGCTCCAGCCATGTCTGTGTCCAATCTGGTAAGGATGGCGTGTTTGTTTTCAGTATCAAATGTCATGGACTCTTCGTACACTATTGGGATGACAGGCAGACATTGTCCTATCAAGAGTGGCAGTCTCAGGAACTCATGGGGCAGTTCTATCCTGTCCTATAGGGTCTCTATGCATTAGCATCGGCTTGATGGCCGTTGAGTTTGGGTGTTTTTATGGGTGTGTGCATGTGTGTTTGCTTTGGGGGGGGGAGTTAGTAGGATATTATTAATGCCTCTGAAATGGTAGATGAGTACCTTTACATGTGATCTAACCATGTTTGATGTCCAGAAAAACTCACAACAAACCTTTCCAAGGATACTTAGCAAAATGGGGTGTGGGAAGGTCAGCTTGTCAATTCAGTATGTTCCAAAATCCCTTAGATAAAGAGGCTGGAAAGAAAGCAGTCTTATGTCAATAATAGCTCTCTCTAAGCAGAGAGTTGAGGGTCACAATAATGTTCTCTTATATGTTTTTCTACATTGTGAAAATATCTATGGTAAGCATGGATTATAGTTAACACTTTTTAATGAACACTGTGCTAAACACCTTAATTGGATTTCTGTGTATATATTCAAAATTCTGTGCAGGAAGCACTAATCTTCTCTCCATTTTAGAAATGAGAGAATTGAGGAGCGATCATGTGATATGTACAGTCTCCTATAGCTGGTTGTATTCCCAGGTTAAAACCTGGGAATTCCCTGCCTGCCCCTAACTGCTCTGCCAGAAAACGAATGCCAGTCCTTAATATTTTAGGGCACGGTGCTGCGAGTTTACATTCTGTGCTTCAAACAGGCCCAAAGTTCATATGAATCCCGGGTAAGTGAGGGCATGAGAGCCTTGTTATATTTACCAGTTGCCACGGGAGACAGGAGCTACTGTGGGAAAAAGGAAGGCCACACCTGTCCCTGCTCATCAATGAATGACTCCCAGGAACGACTGCGCCTTGTTCTGAAATGACCCTGAGTGGCTGTCTGTTTTATTACAGTGCTTGGTCACCTGTGGAAAAGGACACAAGCACCGCCAGGTCTGGTGTCAGTTTGGTGAAGATCGATTAAACGATCGAATCTGTGACCCTGAGAGCAAGCCGGCCTCCACGCAGCCTTGTCAGCAGCCGGAATGTGCGTCCTGGCAGCTGGGTCCCTGGGGACAGGTATTTTGAATGATAAGGTTCTTAGCTACATTCTTTCCTTCTTATCTGGAGAGAGCTTGGAGAGGGACATTCCAGCAGTGGGAATTGGCACTCACTGTACCCCTGTGACACAAAACCGGGGATCCTGTGTGCCCCACGTCCAAAGCTGCCACCCAGAACTGATGGCTCCCTTACAGTCCCACGTACATCTCTGTGTCCTAGAGGTCAGAACGGTAGCCCTTGAGCACATGAGCGTTTGAACAAGTTCATGACAGATTTCGTGGCTGGCTGCTGTTATTTCCTAGTGGGCTCAGGAGGTCAGTTCCAAAATGTGCTCTAGTGCCCAAGTCTTTGGCAGGCAGGCCTGGCTAGGATTCTGAAAGGATATTTTGATTTCCACTGTCAAAAAGTCTCCAGAAAAAGATGGAGATTTCCGCTCTCATTAGGAGTTACCGATTCAGGAACCCACAGAAGCAGTTCCACCCTCTCCTACAGGGTTGCTGTGTGTCAGAACTGACTCAATGGCAGTGAGTTTGGTTTGGGTTTTTGGTCAACCATTCTAAAAGCTCATCTCTGTGGCTACATCAAAGAAGTCAAACTCTTCCAATAGAATTTGTTAGGCAAAAGATGGCAGACGCCTCACCCTTGGAAAGAGCTGTCCCGAGTCACCCCGTTGGCTCCACGGTCTTAGCTTGAAACATTCTTCAGGGACAGAGTGAAAGTCTCTCCTGGGTTTGCACATGAGAAACTGAGACTCTTGGAACTCATCCTTTCCTGCGAGGTGGGCTGCTAACTGCAAGGTCAGCAGTTTGAAACCCCAGCCTCTCCTCGGGAGAAAGCTGAGGCTCTCTACTCCCGTCAAGATTCACAGTCTCAGAAACCCACAGCGGCAGTTCTACCCTGTCCTACTGGGTCACTATGAGTCAGAATTGACTGGATGGTGGTGAATTTAGGTGGGAGCTGCTGTTTGGGGTTTGGGAGGAATATAAAATCAAAAGTCTGGGAACTATTTTAGTAGCACTGCAAGCTCCCCTGAGAATCAGCACACCTGTCTGCTGTCACCTCTGCAGTCTCTTCCTGGCTCTCTGTCTTCCCTGACCAACCATAGCCACTTCGCTCCTCTAGAGCAGTGGTTCTCAGCCTTCCTAATGCCGCGACCCTTTAATACAGTGCTTCGCGCTTCATCTTGTGGTGAACCCCAACCAGGAAATTACTTCCATTGCCACTTCATAACTTTAATTTTGCTACCATTATGAATCGGGCAACCCCTGTGAAAGGGTCATTTGACCCCCTAAGGGTCACAACCCACAGGTTGAGAACCACTGCTCTAGAACAAGTCTTCACTTCCAGGTATGCAGGCAATAAGTGAAAGCAGCTTGACCCGCTCCGTCCCAGTTTCTGCACTGACTGTGACTCTAACACCCCCCCTGTATCACACCCCCAGTCAGAATGGCAGATACAGTGAACCCTCGCCACTTCGCGCTTCGACTTCCGCGGCTTCACTCTATCGCGGTTTTTGCGTAACAGCGCATGCTCTGTCATTACTGCCACTGATTGGCTCATACTGTACATGCTTGATGCCATAAATAATATAATAAATAATAAATGATAATTGTAACATCCAAAATGTTTTACTGTATTTTCCCTTTTTCGTTTAATAAATTGGGTAATACGAGTGTAATGGTGACTAACGGGTGTTTTTTCATGTCCTCTATGCTCTAACTACGAAAATATTTGATTTACAAATAAGGAATCCTACTTTGCGGAATTTCATTTATCACGGTAGGGTCTAGAACCGATTAACAGCGATAAACGAGGGTTCACTGTACTGGGTGATCCCCTAGGAAACAGACTCCGTGTACACAACCGGGCCCACCCTTTCTTTCCAAACCAAACTGACTGCCATTGGGTCAATGCTGACTTGTAGCAACGCTCGCTGTAGGATAGGGTAGAACTGCCCATGGGGGTTTCTGAGACTAACAATTTACAGGAGTAGAGAGCCCCACCTTTCTCCCTCCGAGCAACTGGTAGAGCAGCTGGTCGTTTTGAACTATTGATCTTGTGGATGTTCATGGGTCCAATGTCATTATGGCTTTGATTTGAATTCCCTAATGACTGATTAAGAAGCCTTCCTGGTGTGATCATTAAGTGCTCTACTGTTCACCAAAAGATTGATGGTTCCATCGGTCTGTATGTCTATCCTTATTTCATTACCATTCTGTTCTGGTTACCTTAGCTTTGTGCTAAGTACTTTAGTTGAGAAGTACGAGTTCTCTAACTCCATTCCTATTTTTCAAAGAATGTTTTGGCTATTTGGCTCCCCTTATAATTCCATGTGAATTTTACATTCAGTCTTGCCATTTCTGCCAAAAGATTGTTGGAGTTTTGGTAAGGATTATGTTGAATCTCTACCACACTTTGGGTAGTATTGCCATCTTCATATGATGCCTGCTGATCTGAGAGCAGGATTATAGGAGAGAACACTATGAAACAAAAACACCACAGTACTCCCATACTGACACCTACCAACCTTTTTATTCACTAGGCAGTCCCTGGTTGCAGGGACTAATTCTTGAAGTCCTTACTCACTTCTGTCAGGTTACTGCTTAAACCTTTTGCATTCAGCTGATTTATGTATCTATCAAAATATACCTTTTAGCAGCTTGGCTGCTTTCTTTGCTACCTGAGCTGTGGTATGTGTGGCTAACCCTTGGAGGTTGCACACTTAGGCGATTTCAAATATTTGCCCATTCTATATAAATAATTTAAAAACAAGGATCCTCATACAAAGTGGTTGATGAAAATTCTGATTATTTTTCCAGAGAATGTCCAAGAGGGCTTAACAGTTCACAGACCTATGTTATGGGCTTATTTTAGCAATGGCACTCTGATGGGCATTGTGTGAAAGTGACAAAAATACTGGAGATATGTTCTCATTTTCCCAGGGCGTTCAAGGCCACCGGGTTGAACCCTTACAAACCTTACAAACCAACGGGAAGCAGATATCATTTGAAGTGTCATATTGATAATTGATCAGAATTTGCACAGAAGAGGACTGTCTACATTTACCTAATTTCTTTCAGTGCCAGCCCTCTGGCCTACTGTGTTGGAAATTATTATCTCTTGTAAAATGCTATGGGGAAAATAAGGGTGAGAGAAGACTTGCTGAACTGTATTTATCTTTTGTTTCATTTCTTCCTCCCAGTGCAGTGTCACTTGTGGTCAGGGATACCAGCTAAGAGTAGTGAAATGTATCATTGGGACGTATATGTCCGTGGTTGGTGACAACGAGTGCAATGCAGCAGCTAGACCAACTGAGACCCAGGTGAGTCTCCTGCACGTAACTCAGTGTTTGGGCTTCGATTCTCAGATACTTAAACTGGCTAGGGTTCAGTCAAAATGAATCCCTTTCACTGATTAGCATGCAAGTGGCTGGAACAGTTCATTGATGAGTAACCTTATTTACATAGTTGTTGTATTAGGATCTAATCTGATGTATCACTTTTATGTTCTCTGGCTTTTGGAGAATATGTAGGTTTGATTTTAATACTTAAGGAATGGTAAATGTTGGTTATTTTGTTTTCTCAAACTCAGGTTTTATTTTTTTAATGATTTCAACTTGGGGATTTAATAACAGAGTATCACACGTTCAAGAAGTAGTGTGTTTGCATCAGCTTATACCAACTTGCAAAAGCCGATTGGTACATCTCAGGAATTATGTGCGGTTATGTGTGGTTGTTACACATAGCCATTATTAAAAATAAATAGTATAAGTCTTTAATTAAATTAATTGTCTTAAAATAAAAATAACAAAAATGAAAGCTTATCACATTCTCATTATTTTACAATATCTATGATCTTGGCCTTGGTTATACCAATTTCATATGTATGATAAAAACACTATGTAATGGACCGATACTACACATTTCTTCTTCTTCAACCTGAACTCAGTGAGGTCAGGTTGGCAGCTTGACATCAACCGTGGTGGGAGAAGGCAGCAAACGCTACAATTCATGACTTAATTTATTATTTTTTTGATTGTCAAGGGCTGAGAAAATTATGAATAAAATGTTAGTAGTGCAGATTAAGCTTAAAAGAAACTTGTGTCTACAACTGTTAGCAAAAATCATGTGTGGATATATATATATATATATATATACACACACGTATACTCAGACACAGTATATTCTGGTCTTCAGAAACTATTATCTAACTCAATAAAGAAAGTTTTATCTTTGGTGGTGAATGCATTTTTTTACATAAGTATTATTTCACTTTCATCTTTCACTTAAAAATAAACAAAAATGTCAAATAGCATTTATGTCAGAACTTTATTCATTCAACAGTTGCAGCTACAGTTTAGTCATGGATTCTAGAATTTGGCGAAATTCAGCAAAAACATTCCATGAGAGTCAGTTAGCTGTAGGGAATTTACAATAAAGAGCTGTATTATTTGTGGACTGTATGTTACACATCCCTTATATCAATCGTATTTATAATAAATACACACATACATGGAAATACACAAATATTAGGTGCATGTGTGACTATGAACACATAACTGTTATCCACACGCACACATTCACAAACAGCCTTTTTTCTGGAGAGCCAGTTGATAATAATTTACCAGCACACCATGCTGTGCAGGCCTTCAATTTTGGCATGGTATGTATAAAGGGACTATTTCAAGAGAAGACTTGGGTTTGCCTTCCAGCTTGGCAAGTTGTTGGAGACAGGGCTTGATCCCAGACAGGGCTTGATCCCAGACAGTGCCCAGAACTTGTTCTCTAAGGCCTGGGTCGTCTGGCTCTTGCCTCCATTCTGAACACTTGGTTGCATCTGATGGATAATGAGAGTTAACAGAGTAAATGATACAGTGGTGGTGGCAGCTGCTGACCATTTCCCAGACAACACATTTAACTTCGTGATCTTTTATTTATATTATTTCATCAAATGTTCTGAAGCACACGTGACAAGTGTCATGGACTGAGGAGTTAGTTACTCCCTTAGAGACTCAAAACCTGTTTTTCTGCTAGTTATTCCCTAATATCCACGTGCCTGTAGAGGAAGTTTACCCAGCTGCAGAGGCAGGACAATTTCTTCAGTTTGTGAAGAGTTCCCCGTGGCCTTCTGTGAGCCATGGGCAAAGTAATAGGCAAGGTCTGTAGCCAGCAACTGAATTTCACACTCTCTGTAAATTCCAAGAGATGAGGAGCTGTCAGTTATATTCAGCCTGGAACCCCACACTTCACCCTGAGCCTGACACATTTTAGGCATTCAATGAATATGTATTAAATCAAAGAATATTTACCAACCACCGAGGTGGGGATGACTGCGAGCAGGTCTGTACTTTGCTCTCCCATCTGTAAATATGGGAGGATTATCGACACACGAATGCCCCTCCGTTCATTATCAGGATTCCCTCTGAGAGATTAAAGGGTGTTACACAAATTCCAGGCGTAGGTGTATTCGCTACATCTCTTATATTCAGAGTTGACCTTCACGGTTTTAGGCGTTATCTTTAAACACAGAAAGCAAGTTCATGGTTAGCAAAATTCAATTAGAAAAGAAATTGAAATGTGAGAACAGAATTTGGCCTTTGGGATTTAGAACAGTTAACCATTTTTAGATGGTAGCCTTATTTTTATCAATCTGTGTGCTATTCTCCATTATTTAAAACAATACCTTCCAGAAGAACAGCCATATACGTAGACGCCTGCCCGATGTAAGAACATCTCCCACTGTATCTAGTCTTCCAGGTGAGGGAAGTGGAGCTGAGAGAAGTCATACTATCCCTTATAATGTGAAGCATTGAAATATGTGTTGGCTTGAAGGTAACTTTGGCTTTTTCTTTTTTTTCTTCTCACATCTAGGACTGTGAGTTACCATCTTGTCACCCTCCCCCAACTGCCCCAGAAGCAGGGAGAAACATACACAGTATACCGAGAACCCAGTGGCGCTTTGGGTCTTGGACTCCAGTAAGAATGAGATTGGGAGAAGCTGAAATGAGGGAGGGAAGGGAAGGCAGATGGTCTTTGACATGACTACAGAAAATGGGTTACTATCCAATATCTGACCATATTAGATGATATCTCTGCACTGTTTTACCTCAATGCCCAGTGCTCAGCTACTTGCGGAAAAGGCACCCGGATGAGATATGTCAGCTGCCGGCATGAGGATGGCTCTGTGGCTGACGAAAGCACCTGTTTGACCCAGCCTCGACCTTTGGCCAAGGAGGACTGTTTGGTGGTCCCCTGTGGGCAGTGGAAAGCTTCAGACTGGAGTTCTGTAAGTGAGGGCATCTTTGGAATTGGGAAGGGATTTGAGAGAGCACTGGGGAGCATGAATAGTAGGGGTGCACAGAAATCAATGGGTAATTTTCAGTTGGGCTTAGAATGTGATTTAAACGATTCTGTTCCATATATGGGCAACTAGCATACGTCTTAGTTTGGTATGAAAGGGACGCTACATTATTAAGGAATGTGTGCATCAGTTGACAGTCTACTTGAGCTATGCACCTCTTGGGTGGATTAGAAATCCTGCTTTTGCATTAGAAATACAGAAGGCTTGTTGAGAACATGGTGAGGGCTGGGCCTCTCATCTCGAACCTGAGAATCTCCTACATCCTTATTTCCCAAACTCCTGTGACCCCATGAAGCTGCGTGCCTCTTGGCTTCCCCGGGCAAGAGTAAGACCTGGGAATGCTCATCTGGCACTGTGAGTTCGGCCGTTTCTGTTCACACCAAGCACTATCGTGTCTGAAGTCGTGCTGCCTCTTCAGGCACTGCTGGCAGGTGATGGCTGGCTTCCCCTTCTTTGGCACTCGCCGTCCTTTATCTTCTGCTCACCCTTGCCAAGGACCCCTGCTCATACACACCACCCTCTCTTTCCTCTTCTGTCTGAGGTGCTCTGTATCACCTCTAAAATGAACTTGGGCTCTTTTCAAAGTAGAAGCACCTTTGTCTTCAAGCATTCTCCACTCCCTGAATCCTAGAGTCCAAAGTTGGGGTGGGTGAGGAGAGAGCATGAGGAAAATGGAGATTAATCTCGCAATAAGTATTATCACATATATATAAATCTTTGAAGTTGGTGTCAAAGAGAACCATGGAAAAATCCAGTGCTGATATTTACTGGCTGGATGACCTTGAACTTCAATGTCCACTGATATTAGAAGAATACTAAAAAGAATAGCCACCTTATTAAGTGGTCATGAAGATTATCTGAGATTATATGGTAGATACCTAATTTTAAAAAGTTAGTGCTCAATAAGTGGTAGATGACCCCCACTCTCTCCTGCCTCAAGGATTCAAACAGCCATTCATCCATCTGATGTCTGTTCAGTCACCAGAGACTTGTGAAAGCTAACTGTAGAAAGAGCAGTGAACAATGAGTCAGAACATCTCTGTTTCCTTGGAGTTTATACCAATGGAGAATCCTTTCAATGAACAAATAGCAGACGTGCAGTGCAGCAGCAGGTACTGATAAGTCTTAAGAAGGAAGTCAAGCAGTATAATGGCATAAAGAGGTGGGATGTGCTTTTTGATCGAGTAGTCAGAAAAAGACCTGGCCCTGAATGACATGGAGGAGTGAGCCCATGATACACCAAAAGGTACAGTGTCAACAACGACCCTGTAGGGAGTGTCCTTGGCAATCACAAGAAGCTTCCAGAAGGCCAGGTGACTCCAGCACAGTGAGTAGAGAGCGATGGGACAGAGGCAGTGCGCGCGGCAGGTCACGGTAAAGACTGTTGGACATCTCTGTGAATTAGGACGGCATTGGGGGAATGACCTGGACTTCTTTTGCTTTTAAAAAGGGCAGTGTTTCATCATCTGGGGGTAACGGATGTGGGCAGGATCGTTAAGAGGATCCATTCTAAAGCTGATTGCATTTGGGCAGCAAATAGAAGAGGCTAGCTTAGCCTAGAGAGGGATGTTTGGAAGTTCTAAGAAGTGACGGGGCTTGGGATTTATTTTGGATACTGGGCTTAAAGAGTTTCTTAATGAATTGGATTTTGGATGGGAAGAAAAGAGGAAACAGGGATGGCTATGAAGTTCATTGGCCTGATCACCTGGTGAATGCTGCGATATTTGCTCAACACATGCACATTCACGAATTTCTGACCACCAGCTTTTTCTCTTTCTGTATGCTCTACATAGTGCTCCGTGACCTGTGGGCAAGGTAGGGCAACTCGGCAGGTGGTCTGTGTCAACTACAGCGACCACGTGACACACGAGAGCGAGTGTGACCCGGATTATATCCCAGAAACTAACCAGGACTGTTCCATGGCGCCATGCCCTCAGCGGACCCCGGACGGTGGCCTGGCCCAGTACCCTTTCCAAAATGAACACTATCGGCCCACGGGCATGAGCCCCAGCCGCACCCACGTGCTGGGCGGAAACCAGTGGCGAACTGGTCCCTGGGGAGCAGTGAGTATTCACTGAAGCCTTTCTCGCCTCTCCTATCTTCTCTTTGAGGTTGGGTTTGAGGGCAAACACCTGTGGTCCATCTCTGTTTGTTACAAGGGATTGCCACTGTGCATTTTCATTTGTTGTGAATGAATTATATTGGGTTATTTGTTCTCCCTGAAAAGATGCTACAGGATGCAGTTTGCACGTACCTGTGTACTGCGAGGTATGCAAGGGCACCCATGGGAGGTATCATGGAAACGGTGGTGACCGATCCTTAATGTAATAGTAGCTCAGATGTGTGGGGAAATTAGGGGGACAAGGAACGTTTCTGGAAGGCTTTGCTGAAGGAAAGTCATTGTCCTTCCTGCTGTTTCCAGCGGAGTGCAGGGAGCTGTGCAGTTTGTAGGAGTGGATCACTGACTTGGACGCAGGGAGATACTCGTCTTGGTCCCCTCACTTAGAGGCGAGGCACCATGACCTGGTGAGCAGCACAGGCTCTTCTGAGCAAAGGTGCTTGGAGTGATCCAAGCTCGTTCACTTTGAAACTTTGGGGCCTTACCCAGGTCTCTCTCCTCTTTGAGCCTCGGGTCCCCATCTATAAAAGAAGAGTCTCCATCATTCTGACTTTCCTGGGTGATTGTAGGAATTTAATGAGATTATACAAGTAAAGTGCTTCATACTCTGCTTGATGGCCAGTCAGAGGCCACTGTCGACAGTGTTCTTCCTTATTATCACTCCGTTCCTTTCAAGGAACCCTCAAAGTGGCACAGGGGGTTAAACACTGGGCTGCTGGAAGAAAAGTGGCGGTTCAAGCCCAGCAGGCGCACCGTGGGAGGAAGAGGTGGCAGAGTCTGCCTCTGTGAGGATTTATGGCTGGGACAAATCCTTATGGGGGCGCCCACGGGGTCTGACAGGCTTGCTGTGAGTCAGTCTACTCCATCGTAGGGGGCGTGATTGGAGTTGTATCATTAACCTCAAATTAATAAGAACTTGAATAATATTTCTTCCAAGGACAAATGGCATGCTTTTCCTATTTGATTTTTATTCAAGCGTTTCCCCCAGATAATAACAGTGTGCAGTACTGACAATGCCGCTGGAACTTCAGGAGGGTTGAGGTAGTGGGGGACCCTGGGTAGGCAGGTACTCAGCAGGCATTTCCTGACCATATGTTTATATTTAACCAGAGACTGACTACTAGTTCCTTCCTAGAACTTCCAATTGTGTTTCCTTGCTTGTAGGATAAAAAGCATTGGCAGGGAAGCAAAGCTGTCTGTCCCCCATAGCTGTGTTTCAGTAAGTTAGTTTCCCATGAATGCCATTTACTTTCCCGTGAATGCTGATTACCTGGTAGGCCTTTTCGCCTACTGCAAGCATTGATTCTCTGCACAGCATCTGTCATTCCCTTGGTGTCCTCAGCCTGCCCTGTTTCCTTGGCCTGGGTTATAGGAAATGTCAGTTCTGAAAATACAAGGGTGATTAAGGGAGGTCATCACTGAGTGTCTCATAGTTTTTTCCTGGTTGAAAATTTTAAAGCTCATGATGGTGAATTCTAATGATAGCACTAGAAATTATAATAAAAAAATTTAAGCTGTTCTTATTTAAGACTTTATTTGGATGATAATGAATTCTCTTTAGATTCCATGACTATGCCCTGGAGCAGAGTTCCCAATTAGGAAAGACTACATAACCTTTTTTTTTTTTTGCAGCAGTAGGCAAGACCATTCTTTTTTTAAATGTACCTGATTTTTTGGCAGGTGGGGGTGTTCTTTTTTTCCTAAGAGAAAGTGAGTCTGCTCAATGCTGGCTGGTGTGCATTTTCTGGCCCTAGCTTTATATGCACGACCTGCTCATTGAACACCTGCCCGGAGCATGCAAGATGGACATGTGCTGTGCACACACTGCACACCTGTACACTGTTGTCCTGCCTCCATGGCGAAAAAGGAAGCAAAGAATTATAAACACCTGAGCAGTAGGGTTGAATGTTTACTGCGGATCTTCAGTAAGAACATCGTGTTGTACTGGTTTCTGTATCAACAACATAAACCCTGGGGGAGGCCTTCTGTGTGCCAACGAAGGGTCTCTGGTTATGAGCAAAAGGGAGAGGCTGGGCCAGTGAAGCTCAAGCAAAGAAAACAGATGATTTAGTCCTAGAAACAACGAGGACTGGAGCATCTACAAGCATCTATACAAAAGTCTGGCTCTTTTCCCCTGCAAAGGGCCAAGTAGTAAAGATGGTTGGGTTTGTGATCCATGGGAAAGATAGGGCAACTACTCCACTCTGCCAGGGTAGTGGACAGCAGTTGGAGGCAGTGTTACACAGAAACGCAGGGGCGCAGCTGTGTGTCAGTAAAACCTTTTTCTCCTCCTCCTCCTGCTCCTCCTTCTCTAGTTCCTCCTCCTCTTCTTCTTCTTACAAAAACAGGCTGCATGGGGACTGGACCCATTATTTGCTATTTGCTAACACCTGATCTAGACAGAGCAGTATCTGAAGGAGTTTAGGGAGTGTCTGTGTTAATGAGTCTTCCAGTTTTGTCTTACCATTGAATGCCTATATCTAAGACCCAGATTCCCAGAAAAACCTGATTGGACCAACTTGGCCATGTGGCCATGCCTTGATTGAGGCAGGGCAGAGTGTCTTGATCAACTGTCTCACCAGGAGGAATGGCCCCTGAAAGGAAAATCTGGCTGCTATTGGCAAATGCGAGGGGGCTGGGGAGCTTGTTGGGCAAGTAAGAGAAGGGATTGTCCACTGACCCCTGAGTCTTTAAGGGCCACTGTCCGTGGTTTTGTCAAGCATGGATAATAAATGCCATTCACATTTTGCTCCTAGGTATAGAGTCTGTTAAAAAAAATATTTACCAAGGGAAATGTTGTCATCTAAAGAGAATAGCAGCATTTGTAACTAAAAAGGTCCAGAGAAATGCTAGAACCTTCCACCATTCAGTTATTAGACAACAACATTGACCACTCAGATACCAACTGGGGGCCACTTTAAACCTGAGAACAACTTTATAATCACCTATAATTTGGTCCATGTAGGCAGGGAGGTTAAATTCAGGCTCAACACAATAAGCCATGAAATAGACACACATCATGCTATGGGAGAAGCTAACCAACAAGAAGCAAGTTTCAGGCATGGTAGTCCATTGATATCCATGGAGGACTGGTTCCAGAATGCCTCGCTGACACCCAAACCCAAGAATACTCAAGTCCCTTATCCAAGATAGTGTTGTGTTTGTGTATAACTACCTGTATTCTCCTATACATGAAGTGACTTCAAAAAGTTGGAGGGAAAAATGGAATTAAGAGAGAGTGAAATTTTTGCAGGAGCTTTTTGAAGCCTCTCGCTCCAATCCTCTAAATCTCTAGATTACTTATAAAACCTAATATAATATACATGCTGTGTAAGTAGTCCTTTGAGCTGCCTCATAGGCTTTTGAAGGATTGCTTTGACCACCCAGTTGCTCCACCCACCTCCACCCCTGCCCGTATTTGTGATCCACTGTTGGCTGGGTGCATGGATACAAAGCCTGTGGTCTCGGAGGTCTGTCCGTACTCTGAGATAACACTGGTTAGGATGAGATAGAAAGCAGCTCTCAGAGCCTGGAACTAACAACTCTGTTGCAAATGCAGTTTGAGGCGTGATAATTCATGGGAAATACATTGCTCTGAGAACTAAGTGGTTATTTTATATGCAAACTGCTTTTACAGTTTAAGGGTCAGAGTCAGGGATATTAGCGAAACGTTGAGTTTCAAAAAGATAAGGAAATTATGTAAAGGAAGAAAAAACAAAACACTCAAGATGTAGATAAACACCCGAGCCATGTAAAGCTTGTATAGGAAACAAAAAAATGCAAACAAAAAGCCATGGCAACCGGGCGAGGGAGTGTGAGCCTGAGAGTGTGTCTGCAAGGAGGTTGGTGCCTGTGGGATTCAAGGACCTTCACTGGGCAAGCGAAAAATAAAGCATGTCTTACGGTGACGGCCTTGGGTATCTAGGCTACTGAATGGACAGTGATGGGAAGGAGAGCTTCAAGGAAAGAATACGTCAGTGCCATATTCCATGATGCCTGAATGCATGAGTTAATGCAGAAGCTCAATTTCCACATCCAGCAATTCACGTCACTTAATTGCCCTGATGGCAGTGCAGGCAAATGCTGGCTGTAAGTAAGCACCTAGAATTTGGGGAAAGAAGGATTTCCAAATAAACCGTGACATCCATGGGCACCTCCTTGTCTCAGAGCTGCAGAGAGGGACTGCTTTGGGGACCAGGAGACATTGTCACTCGGGCATTTGTTGAGCACCTACTAAGGACCTACAACTGCCTGAAGCCGCAGCCAGGTTTCTGCCCTCAGCTGTTTAAAAAGACCCATCCAGGAAGCAAGGGTGTTCTGTGGGTCTCCTGAGGGTTTTTTTGTCCTCTTCGGACAACTTAAGGACGATTTCTGTCATGCTGGTCTCAGCGGAAGACGGAGGAGGGGTTAACTTATGGATTGATGTGTTTAGTGTTCCAGTACCTGTGCTGGTGGCTCCCAGCGGCGTGTCGTCGTGTGTCAGGATGAAAATGGATTCACGGCCAGCGACTGCGTGGAGAGAATCAAACCTGATGAGCAGAGAGCCTGTGACTCTGGCCCGTGTCCTCAATGGGTGTTCGGCAACTGGGGCGAGGTGAGAAGGGCCCTCCTCCTTGGGGATTTCCTTTGCAGACCACGCAGAATCCTTGCTGCTGCCCTACCTGTCATTCTGTTCCTATTTTACGAAAGAAGAACTAGCTCTAGTAAAAAGCTTCTTAATTTGCAACGAAGTTACAAATGCGTTTATTGCCAGTTTGAGACCACGTTAGTAGGTAGCTGTGGGAAATTAGCAAAGAGATAAAGGCTGGTTTACGTTCTTTTTTCACCTCTGCTGATATTAAAAGAAGAAAAAGGAGGAGGAGGAGGAGGAATAAGGAGAAAGGGGTGTTTTCAGTGTGTTTAAAATCTGGCTTGAATGAATCCCTGCCGATGTTGCCACCATCATCGTAGTTCTGGTGGGGTGTGTGGCATGTACCCTGTCACCATGGCTTAGTGTCTCCCAATACTGTAACTCCTGATGAAGCCAGAGTGGGTGCAACTATTCCTCAAGGATGATGCACTTGAATCGTGCAAGGGAATACTTCTCTCTCCATTCTGAGATAATGAAATCCTTCAGCTGTCACCATTTTAAGAGGCATCCGCTGGAAGGCAATTGTCCTGCTACTGCGAAATAGAGCACGTGGCGCAGACAAAACTGGGTCCCAGTCCAGCTCTGACTCTTACAAGCTTTGCGACCTTGGCAGATAGTGTAACCTTGTTGAATACCCACGTCCTCCTCTGTAACTGCACATGATAATGGCGCCAACACCGATAACATTCATGACTGCTATCTGAGGTCGTCTCCGTCAGATACCTAGCATATAACCTTCACTGTTACCTGCGATTAAATCATGATAATCATTGTCATTAGTGACAATAATGGTCATTATCTTTAATATCCCCATTATTATTAGCTGCACCTTTAGCCCCTTTTATACCTGGAGGACTTATTAGGTAGGTGTGTATTGTTTTGTGTTTAACCATGAGCTCTCTCGACTCTAGAACCCACAGGGAGAAGAGAGATTTAATATGTTGGGCTGGTCTGTCTGTCCTGAGTTTACTTATGAAAAAGGAAGAGTAACGTCTTGGCAACTCCAGTGCCCAGAGGGGAAAGGTTTCGCAGAAAGAGATGGATGAGCACATCCGTTCACACTCTTGACTGTGCCATGCACCATGAGCTCAATTTCACAAATGCTCACCTGTAACCTAGTGGACACAGGCAGTAAGAGAAGAGAATTGTGTTGTCTTTCATTGACAGTTATGTCATTCTGGAAGACTTTGCTGAAGGCCAGGAAGGGGAGGAGTCAGGCTTTGAGACTTGTGTTCTGTGGGTTTCCCGAAACCCTTCCGAGAACTTCTGCCCTGTGGGGCTGTGATTAAGCTTCCGTAACTGGGTCCAGGCCAAAAGAGTACTCACATTCACTGGGACACTTGCTGTCAGCACAGAGCATTCCAAATTCTGTGGGGGATCTGGCCTTGACACATCTCGGAAACCAGACTCCACTGGGCCTGGATGTGAGCACGGTGGCACTGTCCAAGAAATACAACTTATCCCTGCCTTGGAAGCTCAGAACTAGCCAAGAGTCAGGACGGTTTTATCCAGCGTTCCCACAAAGTTGTTTGTTTATTCATCCTAGTCAATTCTAGCCGCAGTTGTCTTAAGACATGAGATAGCCCAAGAGATTCTCGTCTCGTGAGGGTCTGTGGGGATTGGAGCCAGAGAATAGTCAGAGGTTGGGTGACAACTTCTTAGAAGTTGTGAGAAAAGCAGCCCTGGTTGGTGTGGTGATTACAAGTTAGTGGCAAGGTGGATTTAAAAGAGAATGGAATTTCCTCACAACCTTTTTAAACACCCCCCCCCCCACAAACTTTCTTCTAGACAAGAGAGTGAAAGGAAAAGGCCCTGGCAGAGGTGAGTAGACGCCCTCAGTGAACAAGAGCCACTATTATGAGAGCACACTGATCCGTAGGATTCATATATGTTCGCTTGGAGGCCCCAAGTGGTGCAAACGGTGAAGTGCTTCCCTGCCAAAAAGTTGCTGCCCTGAAAACCCCATGGGACACATTTCTACTCTGCACACACGGTCCCTTTGTGACCCAGAATCCACTAGATAGCAGCTGATTGGTTTGTTCCTCTGTTAGCTTTGATCATTTAGCTTGGTTGCATTCGTCCGTGACTTACCTTGCGTGGTGCCACGGCAGCGTTCGGTGAGGCAGTATTAGTTCTTAGGGGGAGGAACACTTGGCACTGATGTTTCAGGCAGAGTCACTGCAGGCTTCCTTCTCCTTCTTCTAGTGCACGAAGCTGTGTGGGGGAGGAGTCCGGACCAGACTGGTTGTCTGTCAGCGGCCCAGTGGTGAACGGTTTCCAGATTTGAGCTGTGAACTTCTTGACAAGCCTCCCGACCACGAGCCGTGTAACACACATGCTTGTCCTCAAGATGCCGTCTGGAGTGCTGGCCCTTGGAGTTCGGTACGGCCCTAACTGTTACTGCTTGTTAACCCAACTCTCTCGCTAACACACCGAGTCCCAGTATTCTGAGCACGCCGCTGCTGCAGTTGCTTATGGCCATACCCACAGGAGCATCCCTGACACTGTGCTGGAAAGGGTCTTCTGTGTTCTCCATACTGCATAACAGAATTCCGATCGATCGTGCCATTTTGCCCAAAATGACTTTTCAGAGTAAGTGCACCCGCCGCTACTGGCCTGAATAGCTTCCTTACCTAGAACAACCCCTAGGGCCAGTGGGGTATTGATATAGATCAACCAATAACAACTTTATGTGATTATTACACTTCGAGCAATTCCAGAGGACAGCTCAGTAGCAGACACTTTCCCTTTCTACGCTGTGGCAGTTTGGACTTTTTCTTAGAAAGATTATCTGCTTGAGACCAAAGTAGGTTTGTTTGTTTGTTTGTTTGTTTGTTTGTTTGTTGTTAATGGAGTGGTGCTATGATTTGCCTCTGTGTGACTTGTGGACAGCTCTGAATGCAACCATCACAAAGGTTGTACTCATTGGAAAACTAGCAACGGTGGAATCACTGTTGTGCCGTTCCAGGTGTCTGAACTGCTCATGCGCTTCCATGAGAAGAGGTGAATTTCCACCTCAGTCACTGCTTCCTTTCTTCTCGGCTTAGTTAGCAGTTGATAATGTAGCCCAGGTTTGCCACTGAAAATACCATGCAAACTGCTGGCACAGCTCTTGGCAAAACATAAGATTGACGGTGTTACAGCAATGCTTGTGGCTAAGTTGTGTCATAAACTGCAGCATGACTGCTTCATGTACATAAAGTAAATGTTCATGTAAATACATTCATTGCACTGAACCCCAAAATAGTACATTCACTCCTCACTTTCTGACATAGTGAGTTTTCCGAAGACCGCCATTACGGGAAAATAGGAGGATGAGTGGATCCAAGCACAAAGTGAAAGGTTACATGATTACATAACTGCCAAATCATGAGATTGCATAACAGCAAACCCACCGAGAATCCTGACCCGGCTGAGTTGACGCACAGCCTTCCCACCACAGCCCGCACTTCACCTCACATCTCAGTGCGACGTCCTGCCACATATCGTGACTGGGGAAACTAGTTGAGTAGTGGATTTTTCAGTATGCCTGTTCATTTGAAATGTCAGATAATGAAATAGCTGATAAGTAGGCGCATTATATTATGCTATTCCCAGAAACCTTTTTAAGTCTATGTGCTTCTGTGGAAAAGCCTTACCCTTATCTGAAACCAGCTTAATTTAAGAACAGATTAACAGAAGGGACGTGGCTGATACCTACTGTAGCTTCTAAGAGTCAAGGCTTTTCGTGTGTGAGATTGTCTCTGCAGGTGTAACCGTGGCTGTAAGAACCCCCGAACTTCTTATTAAGTAGAAATCTACACCAACTTAGAGTGTTATCTCAGCTGGCACTGTTTGTCTGGGCTGTGCAAGGAGTTCATTTAAGAGCTTAATGCCATGTAGTGTCAAATGTATAGTTCACCAGGAGTGTTTTGTCTGCAAATCTGGAGTGCACGTGCACACACACACTTATCATTTTAAAGATCATCAATAACCTTGGGATGCTAGGGAAATCCTCTGGCCTTCTAGCACCCCCCCTTAGCATCACTTATGACGTGTTATTTTCCATGAGATTTTCCTTCGCACGCCCATTATATGTTTACCCTATCCATGCAGCCAATAGCAATACCAGAGTTAGGAGTTTCTGAAAGTCCAAATGCTCTCAGAAAAGAAGTATTTCTTAATCTCCAGAAAGGATCTTTTTTGGAAAATGGGGAGAAAACCCCCCATAGGGTTGCTGTGAGACAGAATTGACTCCCCAGCAATGGGTTTAAATGCTGAAATTTTAAAATGCCAACTCCATTTTATTTTAACGGAGCATTTTAAGGGCATATGCTTTTTTGTTCTCGTTGGCTGGCACAGAGTTTTCAGAAGCACTCACCAAACCAAGGTCCCTGCCAGTGCCGCCCGAGAACTGAGTCCATTCCTATACACCTGGACCTGTAGCACAAGGGAGAGTGCCCCCCCCAGGGGGGGGGGCTAGAATGTCATTCTTTATGGGAGTAGAAAGCCTCATTTTTCTCCCATCAAGCAACTGGTGGTTTTGAACTACTGGCCTTGCAGTTAACCACCCAATGAGTAGTCCACTACCCCGCCAGAGCTCTTTTTCTGAAGCATTAAAGAGAATAGACTCTGAATGTTCTGCTATGCACAGAAGCAGGTGTGTGAACTTAAAAATAATTTATTTGCTTCCTCTACAATTTTGATGTTCCTTTTGTAAAGGGACCCTTTTTTGAATATATATTTACATGCTTCCGTGGTGTAGGAATACAGCCACTCCTGCAACAGTTTTTAAATTCTGATTGTTTTTAAATCTCGCTCAAAAACATTATATTCAAATAGATACATTTGTAATAACTATGTAACAGTCTTTCGCATCCTTAGAGTAGGGTTTTGATTTTAGTCTTAGCTTGATTTCTTTGGGTTGTGGTATAGCCTCTTAGTGATTCGAAATCCAAACATACCTCAGTGAATTGTGCAGAGAGCCATAAAGCCTGCATGTCTGATGCTTCATCAGTGGAACTGACAGTGCAGATGGCACCAGTGGCAGCAGCAACAGAATCAGCTGTGCGGCGCTGACGCACTGCTCCCAATGGGAAGCAAGTGCAGGGTGTTAAAGGCCAAGGGCTGCTTTTCCCTCCCAGCACTCCCACACTGTAGACTGGCAGAGGCAACTGCTGCAGCAGAGTGGGCCTTCTCCAAGGTCACAATGCAGGGAGCCTTGTTCACCATCTCTTCCTGAAGAGGAGCAGGACTTAAAAAGAAATTTCAACCCACTCTTACCTAGGGCTCCCTGCAGCTCCAAACGGAAGCAGCTGCAAGTCCAGCCTTGTTCTCTGTCTTTAACTCTGGCCCCAGTCTGTGCGGCTCTGCAGTCGAGACTGTGAAATGCACCCCCCTCGTCCTTTTCATTCTTCTTTTCTGTGTATCCTTTGGCAATGTTTTGCTGTTTCTGTCAACGGTTGCCTATTTATGTTGTTGGGAACAGACACAACAAAACAGACACAAGTTCAGCCAGTTCTGCAGGTCCCATTCGGGGAACTTGGTTGCATCCTTAGATCTGAGTGAGCACTCTCATGCTCTTTCTCCTGGACTACAGCTCACTGCCCATTAGCTCTCCTCTCTAATCTTTGGGGTTCCTGTTGTCCACTTGACCCTATAGAGATCCTTCTTGAAAGTGCATCAGGCTCAGGGCAGACGTCTTTTTTTAACCAATGAAGCTAAACTGTTTTGAGGGAGGCATCTACTTTTGAAAGAATGCTCTGAAATGAGGGTGTCCTGCAGCCCGCTTTGGGTAGGGACAGCAGTGTGGACACCGCCCATGACTAGAGGTGGGTACAGTGGGAAGAGTGGCCTAACCCATCTTTAGAATGACAGGGAAACCTTCCCCGAGGCGAGGACAGAGATCCAAGCTGGTGCTTGCCTTCTGTGGTCCCCAAGTTCATCTGCCTGCTTGTTACCCACTTGGAGACTGCTGCACTTCTCTTTCAGAGAAATGGCCTGTCTTGAGTTTTCCATGACAAACCTGAAAGTGGTCTCTGAGCCTTGCTTTCGGTGCTTTGGAACAATGTGTGTGGACCTGCGTAATGAGAATCGATGAGCTCACCAAGGACCTGTGCGGTGGTTTCTGCCTGGTCACCTTATGAATGTGTGTCTACCTCTTTTTCATATTCAAGTGTGCAGCTTCTCTGGGTAGCAGGAGAAAATGTCTGACATCAGTGTTTTATCACCTCACTACATCTGTCTCCAGAGAAAAAAGTTAACATTGTAAATATCACCACCATATTTTCTGAGTGCCGCTGTAAGCCGCCAAGCCTAGGGTTGTCTGAATATTTTGAGCAGTAGGAATTTCTATGTTTGTGTAATAAAGCATATTTATTCTTTCATGTTATTTAATTTTATATTCAGTGTTTAAAGATCAGTTTTATCAGTAAACTGTAAAGGCAAATAGGCGATGGAAATTAGAAATGTACATTGATGTTTCTTTTGTTTTTTTCAGAATACATTTTAATTGTGTAAATCCCCTCCACCCTGTACTACCCCCACCTCAAAGGTCTGACTACCAAGTAGCAAGATTTGTGTAATTGGATAGTTCAAAATGTATATTTTGAAGGACTAGCTCTAAAATATTTCTGAATTGCAAATGGTTCTTAGTGGCAGAACCAAAATTATATGAGACTTAACATTTTGTGGTTTTTCTTTCTTTTCTAAAACTATTGTCCTGATTCCTTGAATCTCAACTGTGAAAAATGAATGTTCCACTTATTGAATTTGTAGATAATAATAAAACATAGCCAGAAGACAAAAAAGAGTGATTAGAAGAAGTGGTTCTGAACATCTAACGGGAGATAGGTGCAGGGGAAAGCTAACCTTATAGGCATAGATTTGATTAGACCTTATTCTTCATGTTCACTTACCTGTAAAAGGCTTACAATATTTTTTTCGATTTTATCACTTGTTCACTTGCAATCCATTTCAGAAAGCATTTCTTACTAAAAGAATTAAAATATATGTATATTGTAACATTAAAGTTGGATGTTTCAGGAACACCCAGGCTTTTCAAAGAGACGTAAATCATAAAGCCAGTCCTACAGCCCTATGTTTTGTCCTGTGGTTTGACTATGGGAACTGAAGGTGACGGCCCAAAGTGAAGGAGTGCCTAAGGGAGGTGGAAGGAGCTCGGGGGTGCTGTGGGATATGCATGGGGCCACCAACCAAAGCCCTCCACCTTCTCTTCAGAAGAAAGATGAAGCTTCTGGTCCCGTAGAGATTTTCAGTCTCAGAAACCCAGTACCAGGTCACTAGGAATCAGACCTGGCTTCATGGCAGTGGTTCCAACGTTTATGGGACTTAGAAGGAGCCCAATGGTGCAGTGGTTACACAGATAGCTGCTGACCCTGAGG